AGTGGATCCCACAGTAGAGCTGGGGAAGACGACCCAGAAATGCTCGGGTTGACAAAGCTGGGGAAAGGTAACTGTGGGGTCTAATCCCGAAGGGCCCAGGGACGGTAGGTACCGCCCACCACAAGGCAGTTCTGTAGAGGTGAGCAGGTACCATGCAGGTTTGATACCACCGCGGGCAGATTCGGAACCCAGAGCAAAGATGGGGTCTGTTCTGAGGAAGAAGGCTCTCGCTATGACATTCGGGAAGATAATCCCAAAGGAGTGCCGTGGTAGGCAAGGAGAAGACGGCAATGAGGAAGCCGCCTAGGCTGGACTTCACGATTCACCTTGACGAGAAGGGCTGAGTCCAGTGTTCTGGAACAGTCTACTCGGAACACAGCGTCATTCCTAAGAAAAATGCTATAAAAAGATACAGTAAGAGGCAAAGATAAAGAGCCGAGTTTGAGGTGTGTGAAGGTAAATGCCTGGGAGACACATCCAAGCGGGTATTTCCAGGAGGCAGTTTCGTAGAGCAGCCTGTGCTGGGAGAGCCCCAGATCTGGGAGTCCTTTGCCCGGAGGACCTGAGCGAGCGAGGGACTGAGACCATGCAGTAAGAAGTGGCCTTTGCCAGAGGGAGCACGTGCAACAGGGAGAGACCTCATACCTTGGGCAGAAGAAAAAGAGGAAGCAGAAATGACGGCTGGAGATCTGTAAAGGCTAACACAAAGGACGGGGTTTCCAATGGAGACTTCCAGTAGTGCTCCCTGCTGCCAGCAGGTCAAAATGAAAGATCTGCTGGCTTCGGCAATTAGGATCTCTTTTTTTTTTTTTTTGAGTGATTTTTCCTATAGGGTATGTGCACCTATTTTTCCTATAGGGTGTCTCTTTCTGGAGAGACAGAAAACAAGAAATCGCCCCCAGGGGGATGACCATGCTCACGCCCTTCTCCATTCTCCTCTTGGGATTATTGGGCACACGCCTGCACTTCCCTGGAATGGGTTCTTGTTAAGCTGCCGGGTCTGGGACTCGAACCACATTTAACTATGTGGGAGTCCAGCAACGTAACCATTATGCCATCTGCTGGTCTCCAGGAACTTTTGATAAACTCAGAAAGAAGTCATGCATTGGAGACGGAGGGAGTGGAAGCAGATACCTTCAACTGGGGAAGGGAGAGCATGTGTGCAGGTAACCCAGCACTGCTCAGTGTGGTAGACCCGAGACAGGGGCTGTTTAAAGGTAGGGCCAGCCCATGGCGTGGAACTGAGGCAGCTGGATCCCACGTGGCCAACTGTGAGGTTCGAGTCTCGGAACCAATGGTTTGAAAAACACACTGGGCATGTGCGTGTGCCCCAAATCCCCAAAGCAGCCAGAAATGGGAGATGCTTCCTCACTTTCTTTCTCTCTTTGCTTCTGAGAGCATGCGCCCTCTGGCAAAATTCCAGAAAAAATATATTGTTTAATTTGACTATAAATTAATTCATAATTATGTTCTTCAGCTGCGCTAGTCACATTACAAGTACCGGTGCATCCAGTGGCAGTAATGTTGGACAGCACAGATAGGTAGTCTTCTCGTTTCACAGGAAGTTCTTTCAGACAGTGTTGGGACTTAAAAGGAAGAGAAAGGATAGCCATGTCGAGGTAGAGGAAGGCCTCCCTGCCTCCACGACACTTATGATAAGCCCAGAGTGTGCTGGGAGGCGGGTGTCTAGAACACTGAGGTAAAGAGAGTTCTTTCTTTCTTTTTTAAGAATTATTTTATTTAACTTTATTTATTTATTTATTTATTTATTTATTTATTTATTTAGAGGGACAGAGAGAATGAGAAAGCAAGCCAGAGAGAAGACGAAGGCAGGCCACCAGGTCGGGGACCCAACCCAGGGTCAGCCATGTGGGAATCCAGTGCCCCAACCACCATGTCACCTGCCAGCCCTGAGAGTTCTTTCTTTAGAATAAGTTTAAAAAGATGGAAAAAGCAGGAACCAGCAGATGGTATAATGGTGGCATTGCTGGACTCCCACTTAGTTGACTGCAGTTTGAGCCACAGGTGCTTAAAACTCACACTAGGCACTTGTGCGTGCATACCTAAAATCCTGAGAGGAGAATGGAGGAGAAGGGATTGTGGCATGGCCATCCCCTCTGGGGATTCCTTGCTTTCTTGTCTCTCTGGTGAACACATGTGCCCTGTAGTAAAAATCTCTTGTTCAAAAAAAAAAAAAAAAAAAGAAAGAAAGAAAGAAAGAAAGAAAACCCTAGATACAGATTTCTTTGGCAAAGCCAAAAGTAATTTGTTGAAAATATAGAGGGCGATCAACTTAAAGAGGGTCTTTTTTTTTTTTTTTCCTACTATGAAAAATCCCAGTACTTGACTAGGAATTAGGAACTGATTTTATTTTTTTAGTTTAGGTAAATCATAGTGTGAAGAAGCAGCACACTGAAGCTAAAGTTCTAATTCTAACGGCCACAATTTAATAATACCTACTTTATGATATGCACCCAACTGGATATTTTACATTAACTATCTCCTTTAAGTCCACAATCCAGTTAATTTTTTTAGAGAGGATTTGTTTGTGCGTGTGTGTGTCTGTGTATGTATGTGTATATATATGTGTGTGTGTATATATATATGTATATATATGGCATATACACTTGCCAGAGAGATAGAGACAGAGAGAGAAAAGTGAGAACTCACCCCCCCATACCCCTCCACCCCCCATGGATATAGCCACACTGCAGTCCCATCTCTTCCACTCTCCTTGGGATTTGGGGCATGCATGCACATGTGCCTGATGTGAATTTTAAGCTGCCAGGACCAGGATTTGAACCACGGTCAGGATTTGAACCACGGTCAACTATGTGGGAGTCCAGCTACTAACCATTATGTCATCTGCTGGTCCCTCTCACTTTCTCTTTCTCACCACCTACCCTATGAGCACACACACACCCTCTAGCAAAAAAAAAAAAAAAAAACTTAAAAAAATTTTGATGTGGCTAAGGAAAATGGTTAACATTCAGGATTCCACATAGCTAATACTCTCTTAGAGAGGTGAGGAAAAAACTAATTGGTTTGTGCACGAGTGTGTGAGAGTGCGCCATCTAGTGGTCACTCTCAAATGTAATGAGGTACTTGCTGAGGGTCCACACCAAGGCTGTGTTTCACATGATCAGTGAGGCCAAGGCTGTTACATTGTTTATGCAATTTTTACTTTCCAAGCCCAAGGATTATTTTAAATGTATGATTTCAAAGGAGTGGGAGTGCTTTACATTTGGCATGTCATTGCAGCCTTGAGATTTTTACTTACAACCCAAATGACTGAGTTCAGAGCCTGTGTTCCTCCATCGGTATAAGCCTAAACCTACAGATTCAAGTTTTTAAACCATTTTTTGTCTCTCCTTGAAATCGCCTTGTATTTTATTTCCTACATAAAATATTTGCTTATATGCCATATTAAACTATTTATATTTAGTGTGTGGAGCAGGAGAATTCAGAGCAGTGGATTAATTTTTGTTCTGTGAGGCAGAATACCACTGTGGCCTAACAGATTTGGTTGAGTTATAGTTTGCTTTGTTCATTTGACTGAGACTGGCCTATTATGGGTACTTATTTTCTGATTAAAGATTTCACCCGGGGTAAGCTGATTTCATGGGCAAGCATTGAAAACCTACTTTGCAACATTAAACCAAGACTGTGGTAAACGTGATAGAATCTCTTAGCATTGTTCTGGAAGACTTCGTATCCCCTCATACCGCCTGCTTTATAACATACTCTTCAGTGGAGTGTTTCATGGTTAAGCCAGTTATTTTCATTTTCTTATGGTCGTGAAAAAATGTTTCATAAGTGCTACCCGATGGTGCCGTAATTATAATTAAAGTTTAAGCAATAGGACTCCATAGTCATAATTAATTTATTTATTAGCAAAACTTGGAGTAGGGTGAGGCAACGGAAGAACTGGTGGTTGACTTTGGGTTTGGTTCGAGAAAGCAGGTTTGTGTTTCCATTGAAATTGATATACTATTGATATATTGGGTCGTTGGAAAAATCGTGAGGCATTTTTTGCATGGAGAGAAAAAAAAAAAAAAACAGGAAAATTCGGCATGACTTTTCCAACAACCCAATAGGTGTAGATATTTTCCATTCAGACAGTTGAAAAAATGGAGTTGAAGCCATGGATGTAAATGATGAGAATTTAAATGCTTTATGAAATTCCTGTCATCATATTTTGTATCCGTGATATTTTATAAATACTTTGTTTTCACAGGAAACTATATCATATCCAACCTACTCCTTAATACAAAAATTGAAAGACATTTTACTGATGAATGACTGTAATGGTAGTTTGTGAAAAATCTCTCTTTTGTCTGAAACTGCTTGAAAAAGTCTTCTCTGCTCCCAAAAGTGGTTTTCTAGAATTGGTTCATTTTGTGCTTGAAAGGGACCACTGGGCCTGCTTTCAGCAGTGACACTTGGGCTTCCGTCCGGATTGTCAGATGAGTGCATATCTGACGAATCTGTGGTATTTTACAGGGCCTGCTCAAGAAATACATATTTGATATTTTTGTAACTTACACGTTAACAAGGTGTTAAAGGCAACGGGTTTGCTGTGAAGATAGCTGTCAGCCGTGTGGCCGCTGATGCTCCTTTATCTGATGGGCCCTTCGCATCAGTTCCACTCTCCTGTGAAAACCACTTATTGAATGTGCCATGCAATCATCTATGCATTATTTTGTTTCTGCTAATATGTCAATAGAAGCTATAGAGTGTCATGGGCCCCGGAAATAACAGAAAAAAAAAAAAACATTAAGTGGTATATAAAACACAATATGAAGGTATATTGTTTTTTCACTGTTGTGAGAATTCCATTTTTTTTTTCTCTCTCCTATGCTTGGAAGTCTGGGTGCAGGCAACTTTCTTTCTAATTTATTATGAGGAGTCAGGAGGTGATCTATTGCAGGTCCCAAATATTGTAAATTTTGTAATCTTACCAACCCTCTACTCCCTTATTTCTTCTCTTTTTTCCACAGGTGATTTCTATTCACTACTTTCCAAGCTACTAGGAGAAAGGGAAGATGTTGTCCGTGTGCACAAGTATAATCCCACAGAAAAGGCAGAATCAGAGTCAGACCTGGTAGCTGAGATTGCAAATGTAGTCCAAAAAAAGGATCTTGGTCGATCTGATGCCAGAGAGGGTGCAGAACGTGAGGAGAGGGGCAGTGCTATTCTTGTGAGAGACAGAATTCACAAATTCCACAGACTAGAATCTACTCTGAGGCCAGCAGAGAGCAAAGGTTTCTCATTCCAGCAGCCTCTACCTGGTGAAGGCACCTGGGAACCAGATCACACAGGAGGTGCGTTTAGGGTTTCTCTTAAGGAATGCAGTGTGAATGCTGCAATCCACATTAGCAAAATCTGAAGGGAATAAAAATTGATGGGTTAAAAACAAAATGGATCAGTGGAAAGGACTTATCATTAGACAAAGCATTACTCAGATTTGGGTGATCAGATTTCACCTTTGAGTTTTTTTCTTTTTATGTCGGTCCAATACTACATAAATTCTGCATCTGTTCAGTTGATGAGCCAAAACTGAAAATACTTGGATCGGTTTGGAAAGAGAGAGGTGCGAAATCAGGGTAACCAATTCTCACCAAATCAACGTTTTCCATTTTACTCGATATAAAGAAATTGAGAATTCAAACCCAGATATGCAAAGTCCCAGTATCTGAAATGCTTGTGCATTATCTTCTTTTGAGGTAATTAAAATTCCTCTCAAAGGAATCTCGCACTCTCAGCATTGTCGTCCAATTGACTTGTAAAATATAACCGCTTTATGACTTTGATTTCTTAAGTTCCATTATCGATCGCTATCTTAATTGGAAAGCTGAGTATTTGTTTCTGAAGGGACCTCCAGAAAGTCAACAACGATCAGATTTATCTTTATTTCCAACCAGGATTGCCTTCCATAATTAGAGGACAATACCTTATTCCCTTCAGGTTTCTGTACCGGCAAGCTATGGATGCCTCATCTTTGTCCTTAATTGTGTTGTGGCCTCTGTGCTATTGATTGTGTTTTGTGTTACCTGCTAATGTGGAAAGCAAGATAATACAGCATGTGGAGACAATCTCCAAAAAAGTAACGGGTATGCGTGCATGGCAGCTGTCCCTACGTGGGCTGGAATGGCTCAGGCTGCCAGCTTGATGTTTTCAAATTCAGCTCTGCAGGAAGCCATAAATTATTCAACACCCAGCTGATTTTTATTTATAATTGAAAAAAATTAGCATTCAGCGCCTTTTGCTCGCACGGAAGTTTCCTCATCCACTGGGACTGGCCTAATGGTTTCTAGGTGATGTTAGCTAGAACCTCGCTTTTTAACTCTTCACATTGAAACAGGGTCAGCCCTACTCTAAATCATTCAAAATCTATGCAATAAAACGGTGCTTCTCAAGAGATTGTTCCTGGACCCCCTTCCCTCAGAATCATCCCTAGGTGAATTTACATGAGAAAAACCTAGATCCCTGAATTCTACCAAAGAATAACTGAATCAGCCTCTCTGAGTGTGGTGCCCTGAAATCCAAATCCATAGCCATTTCTTAACACTCAGGAGTGTCTGAACCTCTGTTAGGGACAGTGCATTGAAACCCAAACAACGTGGGAAAATAAGAGGAAAAGGGGCCGCTCTGGCGAGAACACAGTTCTGCTCGGGATGAAATGTTAGCGTTGCATCATGCTCCGGTCCACGACTTGTCTTCATTACATATCTTGAAGTTGAAATCATGTTTTGGTCATTGATGGGCATTGTAAGTTTGATTTAAGGCATTGTATTCCTGAAACTTACTTCTTTTTTCAAAAAAGACATTCTTAAAATACCTGATATACACTTACATGTCAAATAGTCATCCAGGATAGTCAAATGGTAGGGCTCAGGGGAAAACGTTTCTCCAGGATCTGGCTTAGGAAGTTTCCATTCATCTTTTCTAAGTGGATGTCACTCAAGTGAGTAAAACAAGGAGTCATAGAAACAGCACAGATCCTACATAAACATGAAAGGTGCGTGCATTTTCTTTCTGAAATAATTTATTTCAATGCTATCTTACTCCTCTCATTTCAAAACTTAAATAGTAAAACTCATATTTAGTCGGCTATTTCTAAAAGACTTTTTCTTCTCAAGTCTCTTTCACATTTTATTGTTTAACACAAATGTAAAGCCTAACTTTAATTTATGCTCTTCCATTCCTTTAGGTAAGCCAGAAGAAGACGAATCCTCAGGAAGCTTCCATTTTAGGGGGGGGTGGGAGGAAGTTATTAGCATATAATGCCCCAATAAAATATATTAGTAGTCTAATTCATCTGTATTCCCCCAGGATAAGGGCAAGCAGAATAATTATTTCTTTCCTACCCTTTCTTTACTCCAGGCAGAGCTGGGAATGATCCTAAAGTCTAAAGGAATTAACTGTCTCCCTGAGTGCCTACTTTGCTTCAGGGAAATGTATTAGCTACAAAAGAAAAGTAACTTTTTACATGTGAATAATGCTAAACCGAACATGTAAGGCTACTGCACTGCTTAGTATTATAGTTCATATTCGTTTCAGATATCTTTGAGACTTATTCATTTTCAAACAAAGAAACGGAAACTGGAGACCAGCAGTCAGTGTAATGGCTCTGTCACTGGACTCCCATGTAGTCGACCGTGGTTTGAGTCCCAGACCCGGTGGCTTAAACTCACACCTTTGTGTGTGCCCAAAATCCTGAGAGGAGAATGGAGGAGAAGGGATTGCGGCATGGCCATCCCCCCTGGGGGGTGATTTCTCGCTTTCTGTCTCTCTGTCTCTCTCTGTCTTTCTGGCGAGCACAGGCGCCCTATAGCAAAAACCTCTACAAAAAAAAAAAAAAAGAAAGAAAGAAAGAAAGAAAGAAACGGAAACTGAAAATATGAACCTATTCGAATGAGGTCACAAAGCCTGTATTTAAAACCTGGACCTTGTAACTTCTGGCGTGTGTCTTCTAGTTCTTTGTAGTTCAGTACCCATGTGCTCAAACAGGGGCTGACGGGCTTGCCCACCAAGATATGTACAGTCAGGCAGATGCCACATCACAGGATTGCAGTCAGTGACAGATCACGCCACACACATGGAGGTCCCATAAGATGGCGGTAGGCAGCCTGTTACAGTGTCAGCATGTAGGAGAGTATGTCATCCAGGTTTGTGTAAGTACAGTCCATTGTTCACACAATGAGCAACTCTCCTACCAACATGTTTCTTAGCACATACCCTCTTGGTTTACCAACATGTGACTGTACTTCCCTGGAGCTCTAGGCCTCGTTGCCTCAAAGCTGGTGATGTCCAGTCAGGACCCATTTCTGATGTCCCAGAAAAACCCAACACTGTGACATTTTCAGTTGTGGTACTTTAGATTTTATTAAATGGTCCATATGTTGGAACTGTGGTATGGTGGTGGGGTCTGTCCCAGCTGATTTAAGTGTTCAGAGGTAAATTTAATGGAGCAGCTCAAAAATTTGAGTGTGGGACCAGCAGTTAGCGTAATGGCTATGTCGCTGAACTCCCACATAGTCGACCGTGGTTCGAGTCCCGGACCCGGTGGCTTAAAACTCACGCCGGGTGCATGTGCGTGCGTGCCCAAGATCCCAAGAAGAAAACGGAGGAGAAGGGATTGTGGCATGGCCATCCCCCCTGGGGGGTGATTTCTCGCTTTCTGTCTCTCTGTCTCTTTCTGTCTGTCTGGCGAGCGCATGTGCCCTATAGCAAAAACCTCTCCCAAAAAAAAGAAAAATTTGAGTGTGATCTGTGTAGTAGGCCCAGGACACCTGAAGGTTTCAAAAACAGTACCATTTTGTGGACCTTTACTTCGATTGGGATTCACTTGGTTCCATGCCCTGGCGTTGGCCTTTGAAGTTGGGCTCTCCGCCTCATTATGGGTTAGCTGCCATTGGGCACCAAACTGCATGAGAATGTGCTCAGTAGAATGGTGTCATCCCGATTCGCATCATCCTGAGCATTCCACAGAACAAGGTGGTCTAAGTATAGCCCTCACTGCATTTCTAAGAGTACATATATCTGCAAATGGCACCTAGTTTTAGGTCTTGTCTTTGTGACTTTGATAAGGTTCAGAGTCTATTTTGAAAACTAGCCTCTTAAAAAGTCATAAAAACATTAGCAAAAGAGAAATATCCAGACAAGTTCAGCTAGACTAAACCGGAAGTTTTGCTTTCAGTGGAAAGTATTAATATTTCAGTCTTTCCTTCCCCTGCCCACCACCCCTCCAACACACACACGTACACATCACAGATTCCCCTAGGGCTAGTCTGCATTTGACCAAAATAAAAATTGGAAGCCACTCTGCAGAGGTAATGTAATGTGGAAGACTCCAGGCCCTGGCGCCTGACTGACTGGCTTTGAACTCCAGCTATACTGTGTACTACTGGATTGTGGGAAAAGTCGTGGCCTTTTTTTTTTTTTTTTTCATGTGTTTCTATGCAAAAATACGTTATGACTTTTCCAGTACCCAATGTGTGGTCTGCAGGCAAGCTTTTAACAAAATTTGGGGGCTTTCTCATTTATAAAGTAAGGATTGTCACAGTATAGTCCTCATAGGGTTGAAGTGAGGTCAATTAAGACGATACATAGAAAGTGCTTTGAACATTGGCATGTAGAAAAAAGCATTTCATAAATGTTATATTAACCTTAATTGTGATTAGTATTGCTACAGTTAGTGTCATGTTGAATTGACATTCCAAAAAATCAAATTCCAAAGTGTAAATATTATAATTACTTAATCAGCATTTACACGAGAGAATTTTCTTGCAGTGTGTAAGGAAGCTGCAAAATTGAACACATTGCCTAAGTTGAGAACCTAACCTGGTAGTGTTCTGTCCTAACAGGAGTTTGTGGCTTTTCAAATCCCTACTGTTTACACTGACTTTCTTGTGGTGTGTGATGTTCGGTGTGAACATACTCAACTCTGTATACAGAGAAGCAAAAGCATGCCTTTTTACACTCAATGTAGTTCAGTTTCTGTAGTTAGTAGTTTAACATCTACACCATGACAGCATTAGCAGAGTAGAAACGAAAGTCTTAGGTGTCTTTATTCTAGTGGGCTTCTGGAAGGTAGACTCATTGAAGAATACATTAAAAACCACGGATTGCTAAGACTAGCGCTAATTTGTGTGGACTGCTGTGTCGTAGCATACTGAAGCCTGATTCAGGCAAGCTTCTGGGTGTCAGAAAATACATCGGCATGTGTGCAACACTTCTGATCAGGCAGGAGGACTCAGAGGTCTTTAATAATATTTATGACATATGCTTATGATATATGTAATATTATGATTCATCTTCT